ACTAACCACAGGAACTTCCCCTTCACGTTTCAGTCCCTGTTTGCCAGTGTTCAGAGCAGCACTGGACCCATCTCTACCAGTTCTCAATAAACCTGTCGAACCTTCCCCTGGTCACTCTGTTTGGTTTTCTGCATGTGGATCAGACCTTTGAATAAAATCATGACAATGTCTACCCAAATCCAAGTTCTTCATGAGGCTCTGCATGTGGCCAGGCTTGCTGAATCTCTAACCACACCTCCACTAATGCTCCTCCTAAAACTTGGCGTTGCCCCTAGTGGTCTCCTGGACTGCTTTGGTGGCATATTCAGAATTTGTCTGTTGCACAGGTGAGTTACACTTTCAGCTATTCTGCTGTCTCTGTAATCATCACCTGAGCCAGAGTCTACTTTAAAACAATCATGATGGTAATCTAAGTTATTAAATAATTAAAACCATGTTTGTAAAAAATTTTCTCTCAAGTATATCTAGTTATTTGCATTCGACTGCTGTTGGCCTAAAGACACATCTCAATTCACCTCAAAATCTACACAGGATTACATTTTCTGTTTCCCTATTTCACTGATGAACAAACCAAACTGTTAGAATACTCTGGTATGCTTATGTTTTTTTTTTCTTTTTTATTGTGTTTTATTTTCTGTAATTTACATTGTTCAAAACATAATTATTGAGTTGAAATGCTGATAATTTCTAAACACCGTAGTGTATGGTTATCTTTGGCCACCATTCTGGTGTATTTCAATCAGAGCACTTTAACACTTTCATTCAAAATCTCATTTGTATTTAAATGATTCTTTCTACACTTTGTTTGTTGACTTTCTGTTTAATTTGCTTAGTTTCATACTTTAAATGTAAAGATTAAATTCAATTCTTAAAGATAACAAATAATACAGTCTGGCAATGAAAATGACCAGTGCGTAAGCATTAAACAGGAATTATTCAATGATTTTGACCCCTGCAAAGTCCTCCAGGAAGTTCCAGTCTTTATGCAAACATATGCAGGAAAATGATTGTGTACTCTAGACTTTCCTCATTGGATGCCAGGACACATGGAGAGGTAGAGTAAAAATCTTATACTACATCTGCTCTTATCATATGTATTATACTTATTTTTTTGCTTATTCACTGGAACTTGATATTCAAAAAATAACTCTCTTTACATCGTTTAGATTCAACTTACAAATTTGACTTTGAAGAACAGACTAAAGGCTTTTTGGTACTTAGATAAGGTAAAAAGAGTGAGACTTCTTTTGTATTCTCATTGACTAATTACACAAGTGTACACTTCATTCTAGAAATGAAAAATCTCTGGTGGCTTGGGAGCTTCTGGGGGACAGGGATACATTACAACCACTTAAACAATATGCAAAGGACTCCAAGGGAGATCTGTGCACTTCACTTATTTAAAAGGAAAACCAAAACTAGTGTATTTATCACTACCACAAATATATAACTGTAGAAAGAGTTATTATTCGGCTATAGCTGCAGTCCCAGTCTCAAGCTTTAATGCAGTACAATCATTAGGTTAAATAAAAAGGCAGCCTTATATTGCGCAGTAAAACAAAACAGTGAGGATATAAAATCAACTATAAAAAATAAATCTCTAGAATATTTTTAGTATCCAAAATATAATTATTAACCCATGTTTATATGTATTTGAAGAAGTTTTTGTTCAAGGCTGTAACAACATTTGTGTAATTGGAATTAAGTAGGAGGTCCTTGCTGGTTAATACAATGTTTTGGTTAATTTTAAGAGTCCAACAAGAGCATTTAATGGAATTTAGAGGAAGGTAGTTATATATGAAATAAAAGTCCTTGGTTGGTCAAAAAAACATCTTCAAACATCTTAGTGGCTAAATTAATCACTGAGTGAAAAAGTGATGAAAGGATGTGAAAGATATGCTTTTATTAGATACTAACTCAATCGAGATTTTAGTGATTAGCAACATGCATACTGGTCTACTGTACTATAAGATGCAAATTATTACCTCCAAACAAGTTTAACTTAAACTCCCACACAACTTCACGGTTCCCAGGTCTCACAGCTATGAACACATAGGCTTTTATTCAGGAGCAGAGTTGTGTAGCCTGAAAACAATTAAGGCAGGCAGTTGCTAGGATGCCCATTAGTTTTTGGCAAACTTTGAGTCCCTAAAGAGTAACATTAGTGTAAGGATTTTGCTATGCTAGTGGTCAGCAGGCATAGAACTCGGAAATGGGTTTTGTTTCTACAAGAAGAATTCTAACAAAGAAAAGAACAAAATTATATGTTCAGAAAACAGAAAAAAAAAACAGAAGTTAACAAACTTCATCAAAATAACCTTTTACCAGTAGTCTTGTGCAATGTAGTGATAAGCTACTTATAATTGTAAAGAAATAATCTGGGAACGGTTGTCTTTTTGCTCTTCTATTTTGACATAAAACAACATCTGTATGTGCATTTAACATGTTTGTATTGGTTTCAGATCATTTCTCATAAAAATGTGAGGAATGGGAAGTAAATTACCTACGATCTTATAAGACTGTAGAATCTCAATGCAGAACTAGTTGATGATATCAGCCCAATTCTTTTTTTTTTATTTGCTGCAAAAGCTGCCTCCTACTCTTTAGTACTGTAACTTTCCAAACCAGCTATGCAATCACTCTCTGTGTTGGATTTTTTACTATAATGTTCCCCAAACAGATAACACCAAGAGTCCTTGCAGAAGTTTCAGTCTATTGTTTTAGGTACCTTGGGAAATGTGCTACAGTAAACAGGTAAATAAAAGAAAACAAAAATAATGGATCTGATTTGGTAGAAAATTCTTTTATAAGATGCCTGGGGCAGTTTGAATCAATTTAATTGAATTGGGCCATCCACACTTCCATTAATTGCCCATTAAAGTGTATTAAAATGTCAGACCAAAGTTCAGGACCAGGGTTTATTTTGTTCTGACTAATACAACAGTTTGATGGGTATGTCATGAATCAGAGAGGAACTGAGACATTTAATTCAATAAATCAATATTATTTAACCTGAAGGGAAACTAAATGTTGTTGTAACTCAGGTTTTTTTTCAACGGGTCGTTGTTGATTTTAATAGCTACAGGAGGATCAGGAGGATCTCCTATGGCTTTTTGTCTCAAAGTGAATTTAGAGATCTCTCTGACTGATAACACTGTTACTGTTCAACAGTCAGGTCATTCTTCTAGAATGTTCTTCACTTTATGAAGAATTCTTTGTACGTGTTCTTCCTAAAACATGCATGGGACCAGAGGAGTAAAAATTATTATGTTTATTACTCAAGTAGAAGTATAAATCCTACTGTTTAAAAACACTTTTGTGGTGTTTTTTTTTTGTATCAACTTAAGGGTTTTATTCAAGAAAAAGTGTAAAAGTGCCATTTTTTAAACTACTTAAAATATAAAAATAAAAGTAAGGCAGGAGAAATGCTAAGGGCAGATGCTTTAAGCTTTATACTGGCTGCGCCGCTACCGATTTTTCTACGATTCTGAATGATAACTTCCTTATATTTAATTTTCTCAGATTTAAAACTAATAGCAACAAATTTATCTTTACATCGTCTTAAAAAAATATTTATTTTGCTATGTGTCGAACAACAACTTCTGGATGAAACTAATTATTTTGATAATTTTTAGTTATTTTTTTAATACCAACCAGTAATAACTAAAATTAGCTTAAATTAAGCAAAACTAACGAGTCTATTTTTTAAATTGTAGGAGTAGAAAGTATAGTGTAGTAAAAATTTGGCAAAAAATGAATTACTCCACTATAGATAGCCAAATTTTCTACTTAAGTAAGGTAACAGAGTATTTGTACTTTGTTACTTGACAGCTTTTTATGGGACATAATGGAAAAATAAAACGCATTAGGAAAAAAAACATAAACTAAAAAGGTCAAATTGTAACATTAACTGAGCATTAATACAATACTTATATGCAAAGGTTGTTTTTTCATGTGGCCCAAAGGGCAGATTTACACATATGTAAGAAATACAGCATTTTAAAATAACAGGGTACTGAACCATGGTAGGAGCTTGGAACTATGCAGTCACGTACATAATTCAGCTGATTTTCACCGAATCTTTAGAAAGAATAAGAGTATCGAGTCTGACAACAGGCATGTTATTCTTGAATAAGATTTATAGATTTCTTTTTATAAAACTGCACATTAATTTTTCCACAGAAACTATAGAGCAGAAGTCTTCAAGTCAAGTGCTGGAGGTCTGGTGTTCTGCACCTTTTATAAGTGATTCTTCTTCCACACATCTAATCAAATGGCTGCAGTCAAGTTCTCCAGAATTTTCTAATGAATTGATGATTCGACTGCTGTGTTGCAGAAGAGAGACGTACAGGTGCATGACACCAGACCTCGAGGATTAGAACTGACAATGCATGATACAGAGTGTAGTTTTCTATAAATAAAACCATTTGCATTTTTGTTTCCTCTTTCAAAGCAGCCACTGACACACCAACTATGTGTATTTGCGTCCAACGTCAGCTGAATTACATATGTATAAAGCAGCTGTTCTTTTTATTGGAAGATTTTGTAAAAGGGACAGGAACTATGGTATTTTGTGTTTTCTTCTAGTTCCGTTTTTGTTCATGGAAAAAAGTAACATGTTTGTTTGTTGTTTTTTTCATTCTTATGTATTTTGGAGGAAAAAACACAAGAAAAATAAATGGAAGAAAAAAATATAATTATATCATGGCATTAACAAAATCAAAAACATATATAAACATTTTGAGGTTAGTTGAGTATTAATTAAATAGTTTAAGCTGCTGTTTATTGGTTTGTTGTTAAACGTATAAAACAAAGCTTGTGATACTGAATCATGAGCCGTTAACCACATGTCAGGCTACTACATTTTTATTGGTTACTTCCTTGTCAGTTTTTTAAGAATCTGACAGCCTTTAAGAGTAAAACTATGTTACAAATGATTAACAGGGTTTCTTCAATACTATATCTACAATATGACCATTCCTATGTTCTTTTCAGTAGGTATGGCTTCAGCCAAAGCACTGTGGTTTGGTGTTATTCTTATGGCTATATGCTGCACTCTGGTACAGCCGGGATTCAGACATTCTATGTACATCTTCTCTCAGGTAAGCATAGGAAATAAAAAGTAAATCATGTACATAAAAATGTTTTGTCTCAAATGTTGATTGCAGAGTTTTATTGATTATATTTACAGGGGTTGATTGGTATCAAATCATCCAGCCTTCATGTAAGAGAAAAAAGAGAATGTGAGTCACTGAAAAACTACTTAATTACACAATAAAGAATATTGTAGGGATAGACTGTGTTTAAACTATGTGTGTTTTTCCTCTCCAGCTCCAACGAATATAACTGATTATGAATTCCAAGCTGTTATGAACATTTCTGACCTGGAGATGTTTCAACTGCTACTCAACAACCTCAGCTTTCCCATATCGATCACCAACACAAGTGAAATTTCCAGCCTGGGTAAAACAACAGGTATTAAGTTAATAAAGCCCTATAGATTTTGACTAACATAGCGGTACTCGACACTGCCCTGTATTTTGTGTCTCATCCAATATTTTCATCATATGGTGATGCTTTTTTTCCACAGTATGTTCACCAAATATTACTGGATACCAGTGCATGTGTGAGAAGAACTTTGCTTGGTCCTATAACAGCTGCGTTGTACACAGAGTCTGTGATGCCATTATTGGTGACACCTGTGGCTGCATTAATGATCTTCCAGATGATTATCAGTTCTGTCAGCTAAACAGCAGCCAAATAGGTAGGTTTATGGCTTTTTTGTTAAATAGACATGCTGAACTTTCATTACTTGCCACTACTGAAAAGTGTTTGAATTTGGTACATTTTTTATTTATACACTGTTTTTAAATAACAAATCCAGGTTCTCTTTAAATCCTCATGGCATATTACAGTGTTCCTTAGAGCCATGTCACTCTCATTTCTTTAATTATCATTAAGCTAAAGCAGTATAACAGACAGCCAAACTTCTAAATAAGGCAGCTATTAGCTTACATTTTGTCTATCTTTCTCTCTTTTCACTGTATAACTATTATGTTTATCTAAACCGTCTGACCTAATTCCATGATAAATAATTTGCTCAATACTTTTTCAAAACCATGTCCTTTTCTGTCTCTGCTCCTTGGTCCTCCTCAGAACTCCCTCTTCTGAAAGCAAAAGGCCGCCAATTAGAGCACCTACAGTATATATGAAAACAGGACTCACTGTACAAAAAGACATTTATTTTAATCATGTTTTATAATGTGAGGACTGTATGTTCACTTTTATCTGCCCAATGATAATGATTCCAAGAATCTCTTCGTTATATAAAATACCATTCTCAGGACCCCCCATTTTCCTCACAGCACATTTTTTAATCCACAGCCTTTTTGCAGTTCTCTACTACATACGTACAAAAATCCCATCTATTTACCAGTGCCTACCCTCAACAACTCCTCCTTGTTTTTCTACTGGTCTTCCAGTGGAAAATCATCTTTTCTCCATTTTTGAACTCCTACTTTCTGTTCAAAGCTTCCCTTTCATCCCNACTCCTCCTTGTTTTTCTACTGGTCTTCCAGTGGAAAATCATCTTTTCTCCATTTTTGAACTCCTACTTTCTGTTCAAAGCTTCCCTTTCATCCCTTCCCCCCCTCCTCACAACCCTCATTGAACCTTCAATGGCCACTGGAATTGTCACAACACCATGCGCTAATAATTTAGGGATGTGCATCACAATGATTAGGTGATCAGAGTGTAATCATATGATCCACCAGTGTTTGCATCACAACATTGGTATACCTTCAATTTTGTCCAAAACCTACAGGTTCTGAGTCGTAGTTGAAAATTCTTTAGTCCTCCTTTCCCCTTGGGTTAAGAATATAGGAATTATCCTCAACAGCACGCTGTGCTTCCAAGCCCACATCAATAACACAATAAGGTCTTTATATTTTCACCTCTGCAACATCACAGGTTCCGCCCCTCCCTCACCCCCCACTCCATAGCCATCCTTTTGCACAACCTGGTCCTTTCCCATCTTGACTACTACGATTCAATAATTTTTTAGTCTACCCAAAATCACTCCTTAAACTTCAACTGGTTTTGAATTCTGCTGCCCGCATCATCACCAGAACCCCCTCCTCTATTCACATCACTCCTTTCCTACAGCAGCTTCACTGGTCATTCATTTCTGAATTTTGTTCTGGTTCTTCTTTTCCTTTATAAGGCCATCCACAACCTTGCCTCTCCATATTTAACTGCACTGGTCCTCACTGCTGTTCCCTCTCATTCCCTCAGATCTGCTTCTTTCTCCATTACATAGTTTCTTCCCCTATATTGGTTACCATGGGCTCCAGGGCTTTTAGCTGCCGTGCCCCCAAACTCTGTACAGTAGTATTAGTATATCATTAAAACACACCTCAAAATTCACCTGTTCAAACTTGCCTTCAAACTAACATAATGCTCTTCATCTCTTACACTGCTGCATTTTATTCTTTTTTCTTTCTTTTTAAATGTTTATCAGTTTTTACTCTTTGCTTTTTGTTCATATCAGTGTATTTTTATTGTATTATGTCCTTCCTCCTTTCTTACTTTCTATGTACATTACGTTTGGTTTCTTGAAACGCCCTTTAAATAAAAGAAATTGTAATATCAACAAATAGCAAACAGAAATGAAAGCTAAGACTCGGACATCTGTTTTACATTGCTGTCTTCAGAAAGAAGAATCCTGCACTTTAGTTATACATATAAGTTTTGGCAATGTGTGGACAAATAATCATATTTGCTTGTTTTATCAAATAAAGTAATTACTTAAGAACAATTAGCACCTATTTAGTTTTTTTTATTCATTGTGTAACTTACTTTCTTTCTTTCTTTTTTTTTTCTCGTGACATTAACAACATCACCAACATCTATGGCAACATCAAACAAAACAGTGAAGAGGANTTTCTCCATTTTTGAACTCCTACTTTCTGTTCAAAGCTTCCCTTTCATCCCCACCCGCCTCTCATCTCCAATCTGCCCTCTATTTCTAAAATGGAAAAAGGAGTTACATCACAACTTCACACTTCCCTAACACACTATAAAATATATGAACAATTCCAGTCTGGTTTCCACTTTTGTCAGAGTACAGATTTAGCAGTCTTAAAAATGAAAAATTATCTCCTTGTGGCAGCAGATTCTGGTCTCCTCTCCATCCTCATCCTCCTTGAGAAGAGTACGGCCTTTGACACCATATCACACTCCATCCTCCTCAATAAATAATCTTCTGCTGGGATCACCCAAACCCCAGTCGAGGGGTTTAAATCATACCTCTGGTATCACTCAGTATGTTCAGCTCAAATCCTTTTCAAATCCATCTTCTCTCACTGCAGATGTCCCCCAGGGCTCAGTCTTTGGTCGACTTCTTATCAATTACATCCTCCCCCTTGACAAGATTTTCTGGAAACATAACACCATTTTCAAATGCTATGCTGATAACAGCCAGCTGTACCTCTCTCGAAAACCTAACTCCTGCTTTACATCCCTCTTCCTTTTTCGGTTGCTTAGATGACCTAAAGTCCTGGTTGGCCTCTAATTTCCTCAAACTCAACAGCAATAAAATGTGGATCATTCTCGGTACATCTTCAACTTCGTCCAAAACCAACAGTTTCTCAGTTTTAATTGACAATTCTTCAGTCCTCCTTTCTCCTGAACAAATGCCCATTTAAAATATCACAAAATCAACAAGATGTTTTACCAGTAGATTATGAACATATTATTAACTAGAACTGCACTTATTTATTAGGTCTTTCAACATCAGGTATATGTAAATAACAATCAATGCAGAGATCTTAAATGCAATTAAAACAGTGTTGTTACATTCAGCTTACAACTGACAATGACAATGATTCACAAATGCATTAAACAATACTGCATTGCAGCAAGATGGTTTAGCTTAGATCACGCCTAAGGCTCAGTTAGGAGGTGGTTCTTTACTGAAACAAAGTCTTAAAACTACAAAATGGCTGCCTCTAAACCATATGGTCAAAAGAGGTTGTGTTAACAGTACTGAGGAGCACAATGGGTCGTAAAGTTCACGAGATGGCCGCTCCTATTATATGACCAAAGGGAAATGGTACGGCTACCAATGCAGGGACAGACAATGGGTTGTAAAACTCATAAAATGGCCGTCCCTGCACCATTTGAACAATGAGTCATCAAGGAACTTCAAAAGCTAACAGCTCACCTTGAGCACATTAACTTCAGGAAAAAAGAGAAAAAGAAATGAAGAATAATAGAAATTATCAAATTGCCACCATTCTCTCATTCACACACACTTCATGAAACCAGTGTTCTGTTCAGATGAAAGTTTCATATTAAACTATCAGCTATAAAAATCAAGAGTTTCAATTAAACGCATGCAAAACCTAACTAACTACACCCGCCGAGCATCTTTATTGAGCATCAGATGAAAATAAAAGGAAAGAAAGTTTCACTACTGTATGTGTTGATTCAGTGGATGGGAGGAAGGAGCAGCATAAGGTCCTGCTCCTATCCAATCCATAAACTAGTTTTCTTCAGTCTGATGCAACAACAGAGGGATTTCATGGGCTTTATTTGGTTTGGTAACTTACTGCGAGTCAGGAGCTTGCTGAAGATGCGACCATAATGGGTTCAATGAGAGGGTAGGACCGTCTCAGTGGAATTAGCAGGATAGTTCAGTCAGCCAATGGCGAAAATTCCCGTTTTCTCATCCGCTTCAACAGCAGGCAGGAATTGCTATGTGCACTACACTGCAGTTTCTGTATTGCAGGAGGGGAAGACCCAGTTCTGCCGTGAACTCAGACTTAAAAAGGCTGGAAACTACGGGGCAAAGAGACCATTTAAGACAGTTGAGCTTTGTTTTAAAGCGGCATGATGTTGGAGGGTTGGTTTGCTTGCATCACAGTCCTCCAACAGATGGTTCCCCTACAGGTGTGACTTGTGGAGATTTGTCGTTCGTATCATTGTCATTTGAGCTTGCTGCATTTCTCTAGAAAGGGAGCACAGTGTAGCCATTAGGTCTGCTCATGTCTGTCTCAAAGGGACATGCGCTAATAATTTGGCTGACAATGTCTGCCTTAAAGGGATGTGCATGACAATCATTAGGTGGTCAGAGTGTAATCATATGATCCAGCAGTGTTTGCATCACAACATTGGTATACCTTCAATTTTGTTTTTTTATTCATTGTGTAACTTTCTTTCTTTCTTTCTTTTTTTTTCTCGTGACATTAACAACATCACCAACATCTATGGCAACATCAAACAAAACAGTGAAGAGGAAATTATGGTTTGAAATGAGAGGTAGGACTGAAAACATATTACATGCAATAATAATGAAAAGGTCAATTTTAATTACAGCAGAAATGACAGAAATAACACTAAACTCAACATTGACAAATTTAACCTGACCAGAAATAACACTAAACACAGCACTGACCAATGCAACCCTACAGTAGGTACAGTGAGAAACAGTACTAAATACAATCACATTTGACATAATTAAAAACACTACAATAGGTGTCAAAACTTTACCAGGAAAACACCACACACAGCAGGGAAAATTGCAGCAGGACTAGAGAGAATTCAAAACACATCAATGTCATTTGCAAGTCCATAAAATATAACTTTAATGAAAATAGAAACACATGCAACCATCTTAGAAGTGGCTGCAAATTAGTTTCTGCTATAATCTATTGCAGTGCATCAAATTATGACATTTATCCTTCATTGTCCCTTTTTAAGTGAACTGATTGTTATTACTGTAACACTAGAAATGCAAAACTTAACAACACAAGAAGCCATAATGCAAAATCCAACAACAGAACAATGGACCAAACCAGGAAACATGACAACAGCGCCAAGCATTATTACAGACAAATTCAAATTAAAAATGGATTTTAATCCCTCGTTCAATAAAAAAGGAGAAAAAATCAACGAAGATGTTCATCATGCGGTAGGTCCTAATTACTTTATGAGACTATGATTTCATAATGCTATTGTAAAACTAAAATATAAAATCAGACATAATTACATGTGGTTTGACTTTGTTATTTTTTATAAAAGGTTGAAGGAAGTTATTGTCACTATTTGTCAAAAGATAGCAAAGTCCAGAATCTGACCTTCAGGTAAGTGAAGTTTTTCTTTTTATTGTAAAAAAAATGATAGATGATAGTATATATATATATATATATATATATATATATATATATATATATATATATATATATATATATATATTATATTTACTATACCAAGTTATAGCCTGCAATAAGGTAACATATTCCAGAGTACCAATCTGTGCACACAAGTCCACCATTCTCCATAGTAATCAGGAAATATCTGATCTATTAAACTTTACCGGTGGCACATCATACAAATGATGACAAATCAAGGAATATTCCCCCACATTAATTTAAAACACTGATGCAGAGTTTTAAGTTTTTTGATTCTTTGTTTGGACCTTTATGTCCAACACACATTATGCTGTTGTTTTCTTTGAGGCTTTGGCCATCTTGGAATCAAATGTGTTTGTTGCTAGCACAGCAATCTAGTCCTAGTCTAAAGTTTTTCATAATCTATACTGAGGTTTTTCAAACTGTTTTATTGATGAGCTCCAAATACAATCATTACCTTTTTTGCAGTTATATGATGCTTCATTTTTTCATTTAATAACTCAAATATGCAGCATAAATTACAATAATGAACATAATCAAAACAAACTACAAATCAAGGACCCAAATAACATCACCTAAAAGTTTACTCAAATATCAATTCATGTTTTCAAATAAATTGTGTCCACATTGTTTAAACTTTTATTAATTTTTAATGCGGTACGGAATTTCTTTTTAAGTGTCATTATTGATATCCAAGCCTTATTTGAAGCAATCTCCTATCCCTTCTATTAGAGTCTTTTTGAGGATACCAGAACATAAGAAAAAATACACCCATTTGAGCTTATCTTAAGAGATTAAATATTTACAATAGATGAGAAGAAAAATAGAAAAGACAAATCAACTAAACTATGAATCATGTTCAAATTTTCTCTAATTTTCTATGTCTGGGGATTTCAAGTGGTAAACTTTGAAGTTATTTTGGCCAGGGACATTTTTCCCATATTATTAAAAATAAACTATTTTTTTTTATTTATATACCATGATCTGTGTTTGATATTAATAACCATTACTATCAAGTATACATGAGAGTCATTTGTAATGTTTCATTATAATATATCTATTGTCATCTCAAGGAATGGAAGTACCATCATTGAATATACTGTCAGAACGTCTGATTATGAACCTGCAAAAGCTAAAACAGCAAAAGAGGAAATGTTAAAACAACTTTCTAAAACATACCCTGTTGAGTTTCAAGTTATAGAGGACCTGCTTAAAAACTCTGAGGTAATATTGTTCTTATGACTTTACTGAAAATGTTTTGAAATAACTGTTCTGTTGTTTCTGCTGAATGCCATTTGATATGACACACTAGACTTATGAGTAGAAACAGAATTTCAGCCATTTAGTACCACACAATATGGCATACCTAAACAGTTTGCACAAAACAATTATATATGGAACACAAAAGTGTTCAAAATGAAATCCATCCATATTCTATCCCGCTTATCCTCACCATCCCAGCAGGGATAAGCATGACAGAAAATTGATAGATGGATCAAAATGAAATAATTAAATAAATAGTTGTGAAAAACCTTAGGCTGTCTGATGTGTTATCTGCTCATAACACACAAATTATGTGAAAAAGAAATTGTGAAATCACTAATAAAACTAAAATGCTTAGATCAGTATAATTAAAAAATATACAGTATTTTACAAAAAAATTATGAATTTATTAAGTGTAAAAATGTATTGCAAAAATACAAAAGATTTTTAAGACCTATCTATTTAATTTCAGCATTTTTATTTCAAAGCTAACTTTTAAAAAGTCAGCTATTTTATTGTGTTTTTCTCCCCATTGCCTTTTTTTTCATAATGATACTATACAATCAAATGCAATTAATTTCAATTCAGTCTATATAGCACCAATTCACAACACATTTTACAGAGATAATTCAACCAGATCATGCGCTCAGATTGTTTAAAAGTTTCTTATCTAAGGTAAACCAGCTGATTGCATTGACTCATTGTCTCAACATCAATCCCTCATACAAAGCAAGCGTGTAGCGATAGTAGAGAGGTAAAAGTCCCTTTTAACAGAAAGAAACCTCTGGCATTACCAGGCTCAGAGTGGCCTTTGCCAGAGGCCGAATGGGGTTCAAGGAGATAGAAGGAGACATTCTGTTTGGCTGGTGTCCCAGCCAAACAGAAGCAGACCCGATGAAGCTACTGTTACAAGAAAAAGCAGAGAGTATAAAGTAAGAGGTTGAACTAAAAAATACTGCAGAATGGGAGAATAGAGACAGACTGAAGCAGAATGATAAAAAGAGGTCCCTATGTTCTCCAGCAGTCTAAGCCAATAGCAACATTAAAGATATAGCTCAGCTCTGTGTGAGTCTCCAGGTTGAATTATGAAACATATTTCCTAATGAGCAGAGAACTTTATTTGCATTCAGTGATTTCACAGTTTTATTGTCACATTAAATATTTATGTTATTTATTTGACTAGATATTTATTTCCTAATTATTCATTTATTTACTTTTCAGCACTTTTGTGTTCTATAGCAGTTTAATATAATATGCTAATATTTAGTTTTATCTCAGTTGTAACTAAAAAAAAATTAAATCTAGATTTCTTTCTCACATGTAACAGGCGTTGGATCCAGTTACTTTTCCAGTGTTCTTAGAGAACCTCAGCAATGCCACTGTCAACCTCACTGATGAAATAACTGGTTCTCCATACATCATCAATGACATTGTGAGGATCCTCAGTAATGTAGCTGATGCATCATATTCATTAGATATTATAATAGAGAAAGATTACATGGAGGTAGGTAAATCTATTTTTTATTTTTGTTTTCAATGTATTTTTTTTTTGTTAGGACTTTCACCATTTATATATTGACTTTCTCTCAACACAGAACATCCTGATAACTGCAGGCTCTCTCACTACTGATAAGGCAAAGGATTCATGGGAAATCCTCAACAATGCCAAAACCAGAAACACAGTAGAACCAAAAGGGAACATCAGACTAGAAAATACCAGCTCTTCTCTCTTGAACTCTTTGGAAATTATTACATCGCGTCTTGTTAATAAATCTTTTAACATTGCCACACCCAATATTCAGTTGAACAAAACAACATTTACAAACACTTTTGCGGGGGACTTTATGTCTTCAATTGAAGTAGAGTTATGGGAAACACCTGGAGCAGGTAGAAACTATATAACCATAATAACATTTGCTTCAATGGATAATGTGCTTCCTTCAAGAGATAAAAGCAACTCATCACCCAAGATAATAAATGGAAAGGTTGTGCTTCTTAGGCCTGAAACAAAAATCACAAATGTTTCATTAACATTTGATATTCTCAATAATGCTCTCAGAAATCCCAAATGTGTTTTCTGGGAATTTAATCTCTTTGAGGGTTTTGGGGGATGGAGTGATAAAGGCTGCATGCTACTGTTCAATGAAAATGAAACAATCGGCTGCAGCTGCAACCACACCACCTCGTTTTCCATTCTTATGTCACCTCACAACCCTGATCATTCTGAACTAGTAATTATATCCTTTATAGGAGTTGGATTTTCTATTGCTTCCTTGATTATATGTCTAATCATTGAAGGCATCCTATGGAAAACAATTGGTGACAACATGACATCATATTTCCGTCATATCTCCATAATTAACATCGCTGTGTCTCTCCTGATTGCAAACATTTGGTTTATAATTGTAGCAACAATTCCAAAGATGAAAAATGCACCAGTATGCACTTCGGTTACCTTTTTCATCCATTTTTTCTACCTCGCCCTTTTCTTCTGGATGTTAGCCTCAGCCCTGCTGTTGCTCTACCGTATGATCAGTGTCTTTGATGGAGGGTTGTCTAAAATGTCCATGCTGGCCATTGGATTCTCTTTGGGCTATGGTGCACCACTGATCATTGCAACTATAACTATAGCTGTCACTGCTCCCTCAAACGAATACATCCGGAACAATGTTTGTTGGCTCAACTGGAAAGACTCTAAAGCAATGCTGGGGTTTGTGATCCCTGCACTTCTGATAGTGGGTGTAAACCTTATAATCCTGTTTGTGGTAATATCCAAAATGTTGATGAGAAGAGTATCTGTAAATGCTGCCCAAACAGGGGAAAGGCATGTTCTGATGGTCATTGTCAGGAGTTTGGCTGTGCTAACACCCTTCTTCGGACTAACTTGGGGTTTGGGATATGGAACAATGTTTGCCCCAGAAAACAGATGGATCCATATTGCTTTTGCATTCTTCAATTCACTACAGGTAACAATCAGATAGAAATCCAAATATTAAGTGCTGTTATTTTGACCTATTTAAAAAATAGTAACACCTAAACTGCTTAACTGAATTTGTCTTATCCATGCTTTTAAGGGTTTCTTCATTCTGATCTTTGGAACACTATCTGACAAGAATGTAAGTTTTTCACACAGTTACACTTTTTTTCATTTCAAAGAATATGCATGATTTATGCTGTATGATAAGGTGTGTATCATTTGGAATGTGACTATTCTTCCTTTTAAAAACCATGGCATTTGTTAATGCAGTGTATTAACTTAAGAGCTAACTTTTTAGGCACGATCAGCGATAGCAATGACATTCTCCCGCCAGAATGAGGAAGACGTAAGAACAGTTTTGTATTTCAAGTTCTTCTATTTGATTCTTTTGCATTTATGCGGCATTTCTCTGCTTTTTCATATTCTTCTGTTTTCAGACCACAGGAGCTGAATCCTCATATACCCTGGTCAATAAGATCTGGAAGTTAAGACGAACAGGTATATGAGTTTGCAAAAATTGTAAACATTTTTTCAAAATTTAAAAAAACCAACAGAATTTTCTCTTGTATGTTAAAATTTTTATCCCTTTTATGTAAAATTATGATTTACTTTTTGACTCTAGTTATCTCAGTCAATTATACTAATGATGCAATTTAGGCCACTGTCCTGGGTGTAAAACAATTTTTATGGGAAGAAACTAAATTATCTTTAATGAAACCCTAACTTCTGTGCCCCATGCCGTTTTACCACCATCGCTATCCAAATAATCTGTCAAAATTATTTCTATCTATACCTCTTTGCAAAGGCCCCACCGTACATGTGACGTACATGTCAGACAGATGAGACATTGTCTCTCATGGCTTATCTGAAGTAAAGAAATCTTTGGATAAAATTTAATGAACAGAGGCAATGAGTCCTGTTTAAGCATTTAGAACTGTCGTTTCTGGAAAAGCTAAGAATCAGGAGCAATATACAGTATTAATATGGGGTCTTGGTGCTACTCCTTGAGAACTGATTTGTATCTAATGTATTTATATATTTTTTTCCCACTCATTAATGATTTATTACCAAGTAAAGCATCTCAACCAAAAGAAACAGACGTGTTACGCTTATAATCATCAATGAGTGAAACCACCAAAATCATAATAAAATCTAAAAGTTCAGTTTATGGTTTCAAATTCTTTATATCAATCTAAGGTGATAGGCAGAGAACTATTGGTATCATCTACAAGAATACTCCCAAATATCCAGTTTCCAAAATCATATGATTGATTGATTGTCACCTTGGTTTGAATTTATATCATTGTTGGGTTTCACTATTTCTTTGAATCACTCCTTAGTCTTTCTTTTCTTTTCTAATTTGTATGTTGATTTAGCTTCTTACTTTGTTGTTATGGTGACACTTGATAATTTTGTGTCCTTTGATATCTGGTGGGTACGTCCTAATTGACTTTGTTGAATTAAGGTCGCTTTTAGCATCAGAAAATATGCATTGATAAAATATTAGCCTAAGTTTATATTGCCTCTTTTTTTTATAGATTACACTTGTCTCTGTGTGTTTGAGAGCCCCACTCACACTATGCTGCACTTTCAGGAGCTTTTGTTGGGAATTCTCTAACCTAGAGCTTGCACCCCATTGGGTGTTGCAGAGATAATAAATAAAAAGCATATTATAAGAGGAAAGCCATTGTTCTGGACCAAAATGTGAATTGATTTTAGGTTAGGATTAGAGTTAGGTAATTATTTGAAGGCAAACCGAGTAACTACAGGCATTAGACCTGTAAATGCCCGTATTTTGTT